TGGACTGTTTGCACTTTACACGCGTGATCACGTCCATTGTATATTGTCGCAGTAATTTGTGCCTCACTTTCCCGATGGCTTATTTATTTATTTAAACACCTGGGGGAGTTTGAGTGATAAAAGTTGACCATAAGGAGATAGCTTCTGTGAAAGGGCCTCCAAACAGACCAGCCGTTGGCTTTCTCTGGCTTCCGTGGGCTCCCAAGGGAATCGGCCTGGTGCGTGGATTTCAGGTCAGGCAGGGGCTAAGCGTGTGCTTCCAGACGCTTCTGAGGGGTGGCTGGGCAGCGTTCGGCGGCCACAGCGTGTGCCAAATGCCGCAGCTGGGCTGGGGAGCGGGGGGTCTTGGTTCAGTGCTGAGTTGGGCAGTGAAAGCCACCTCAGTGGCCTCCAGACCCCTCGCGCATCTGGGGAGGGGCCCGCCAGTCCCTCTCCTAGGTCACATGACCCCGGCTCACGTGGAACGGAGGTGCCCGCGCCCTCCACCTGCCTCCTGCTGTGTCCGTCTACACGGGGCATCCTTTCCATAATGTCAACTGTGTAACCGTAACTGCAGCCATTTTAAAGTTGATTTCATGTTTTCCTTTTTTAGGTCCTTTGTATGATTTTGTTAGTAGAATAAAATTGTATAAAACCTGAGTATGTCGGGCAATCTCCCGTGACTCGCTCAGCATAGAATGTAAACGTTTGGAGGTGCTCCCCTCCCCCTCTTTTCTTGGAGGAGTTCATCTCAGGTCCTATCAGCGAAAGCACACTCAGGTGGCGAAAGAATCATCATGCGAAGTGGCTGAAAGAAGTGAAAAGCAAACCAGAGCATGCAAAGCTGCTGTCAACAGGGAGCTGTCCCGTGTCCCCCCGTGGCTGGTGTGCAGCACAGCAGTGAAGTCCCGCTGTTGGCTGACACGACGCCACCTGTCATTTCTATCAGGGTGGAATCGGCAAAGCGTCTGTGACGAGGGGCCCTTCGTCCTGACACGGGCTCGTGGCGAGACAGCCCTTGCCGCCTGCGAGGATGTAGGCGTGACCAAAGAAAGGAAGACTGACAAGTGTTGCCCGGACGTAGAGAAACTGCTTGTGGGGACAGTGTTGCAGCTCCTAAGTGTGTGAAGCCAGGAGACCCAGCAGTTCCACTCCTGGACGTAAAAGCCAAGAGGAACGGATGCCCGAGCAGACGTGGAAGCGCCGGTTCCTAGCGCTCACAACCACCCTGCTGTGGAGCAGCCCACGTGCCTGTCAGCTGATGCACGTGGACGAGCACAGTGTGCACACGTGTGACGGTGTGTAACTCAGTCCTGGGACGGATGAAGAGCCGATGCTGCAATACAGCAGAGCCTCGAGAACATTCCGCCGTGAGAAAGATGCCGGGCACGACTGTCATGCTCCCGTTACATGTCCAGAGTGGGCAGAGCCAGAGCCAGACTGGCTGACGGTGCAGTCACAGGGGCGGGGGTGGAGACTGGGAGCCCGTGGTGGGCCCGGGGTCTCTGTTCAGGGCGGAGAGAAATGTTCTAAGGAGGTGGTGAATCCTCAGCCTCCCCGGCCGCTGCCCCCCGTGGCTGCCTCCCCACCTCTGTGTTGGCGGCTGGGCCTCCCCGGTTTCCCTGGCAACGTCCGAGCCCTGCTCCGTCCCAGCGCCCCCCTTGTGCTGCCCCATCGCCGTGGACGCCAGCAGCGGCTCTAACCCCGGCCGCCCCGCGGTGTCTCCCACCTGGCTGTTTGCCGAGTCTGCGGAGGCACCGAGCGGTCGAGGCCCCCACCGCGGTGCACGTGGACCCTCAGCCTGGAGCGCCTGGGGTCGCCGCGGGGGTGCAGCCCCGCCCGACTCGGCGCCAGGCGCTTCGGAGGGGGATGAGGCAGCTAGGGGCGCGGGCCCGTCCCTGGTTGGCCCCCCCCGGGGCAGCGACCCCCCCAGCCACCCCCAACCCTGACAGAGGCGCCGTGGGTGTACGCACGGTGGGAGCGTGTGGCTCGCGGAGCCCGTGGGAGGCCCCGGGTCCCACTTCTCGGACGATGGCCAGTGGCGGGCACCGCCCTCCCCATCCCTCCAGGCTCAGACTGGGCAGCGGGCGTCCTGTGTCTGGTGGTGGCGGGCGGCGTCCACTCACGCATCCACCCACTCACTCACTCCCTCACTCACCCTCCGTGCTTGCTGGGCTCCCGTGAAGAGCCTGGTCCCAGGACAAGCTGTGGGTCCCCCAGGAGCAGACGGGAACGGGGCCCGCGGGCAGCAGGGACGGGCGAGGCCGGCCCGGCACGCGGGGTCGGGGCACGGGGCTCATCTCAGGTGCCGGGAAGCATGAGGGTTGCGGGCAGAAGTCAGGGAACGAGGCAGAGAGTGGCCTTGGGAGCAGGATTGGGGCCCGGGGTGGGGCCCCTGGCAGGCTGTCTCCTCCCACGTCCCACACCAGGTGCCCCGGGTGCAGAGACGTAAGTGACCACGTCGTGTCTGTGCTCAGAGGGACACGAGGAGAGAGACTCCCGGGCTCGGGGTCCGGCAGGGGCCGCACGCACGAGCGGAGCGGCCGAGAGCACGGGCCCGGGAAGGGGGCGAGAGGGAGGCCGGCGCGCGGACGGGGGACCAGGAGGTGGGGTGGTCAAGCCGCGGGCCCTGCGATCGGCCGAGGCCCAGAGGCCACGTCCCCTAGTGTCGCGAAGACCTTCGCTCACTCTGCCAGCTTTCTCTGGCAACACACTCTCCGGGAGGGCCTCCTTAGGAAGTAAGACACAGGTTGGTCCAGTTTCGGGATCGTCCAGTAGCCAAATCCACACTTACATAAGTAACGAGGCTCCTCGTTTCTGTTACAGAAGGCATCTCTCTGCACTTGCCCAGTCACCACGAGGCTTCCCTGGTGGACTCGGCGCTGGGGCCTCCTCCCTGTCTCACCCCCGCCCAGGCCCAGCGGGCAGGAGCTGCCCCCAAAGCAGGCTGGACACAGCTCCGCTGACGCCGTCCACCTCTGTCTCACAGCCTTTCTGCCAGGAGGGCATCTGCTTCCCCTGACGCATGTGGTCCCGGGGCCCCGCCCCAGGTCAAGCCGCTGCATCCACTCCACGAGAGACAAGCTGTTCGCCACATGAGGACATTTAGTAACGTGTCCACGGCCACACGGCGCCCTTTGTGTGCTCTTTTTCGTCGCTGCTCTCAGCTTCTCTGTCCCTTTCAGCCGTCCTGGAGCCGCACTGGCGGCGGGGAGGGTGGGCTTCTCTCCACGGATCCACAGGCAGCAGACACACACACTCAGCTTCCGGTCCGTTCGGTGGCATTTCAGTTACATTTTGTCTTTAAAACCGGAGTCTGGACTCGGGCTGAAGCTGAGGCCTCACCACACTCCCGGCGGCCAGCGAGCTCCGCCTGAGGGCGTGTGGGTGGTGGCAGGGCTGGATGGGTCTGCTGGGACTACAAGTCCCCTCACGTACGGACCGGGTGCAGGAGCTCCGCGCACAGAGCAAGGGACCGGGGTCGGGGCCAACATTTGGTGCCGAGGGGCAGGTGACGTGGAGCTGGGCTCACGACAACAGAATGGAACGTGGACTCGTCCGCGCGGGGCCACACCCGGCCGCTGGCCTCTGGGCCAGCCAGGCCCGGCCTGCGTCTGCTCCTGAGACCCCCGGAGCCCTGAGGTGTGGGACGCCTGCGCCTCCCTAAGCACGCGGGTGCAGCTCACGGAGACGCCAGCTACTCGGAAGCCCAGAGGGGTTTTTTAAGCAGCCACGAACACGGCGCCTAGAAGCGGGGCGGAGGAGATGGAGACGGGGCACATCCGCAGAGGGCCAGCGTCTCCACGTAAGCCTCGGCCCACGCAGCCCCACACAGAGGCGTGAAGTGTCCCCAGAGCAGGAACCCAATCCTAGGCTTAGGGTTTCATTTTGCTTTTTTAGAGCAGTAAAGTGGGGGAAGCGCTACGCATAACTGCGGAGCTGTGTGCGCGTTAATTTTACTGCTACAAACGTATGAACAGCGACGGACACGCTCTCTCCGGGCACCGTGCGCCCGTCCCGGCTGAGCGGCCAGCTGTCTGCACTCGTGGCCACACGCTGGTGTAGGGGAACAGACCGATTCGACTGAAAACTCACTTTAAAACAAGGTGTGACATGTTACAAAATGCACGTATTTTTATTATGACTGGGGAATAACTCAATCACAGATCAACCACCAACTTACTGTAACCTTAAAAACGGTGCCAAGGAAGCAAATACAAAACCAGCTGCACCAATTCACAAGTTGCTCACCCCAGACGGAGCAGCGGCACGTCCTGCCTCGGGGGGGGGGGGGGGGGGGGGTTCCAGGACACACCCAGGCTTCCTGCTCGCCGGCGGCCCTCTTCCCGGCCTCCCAAAGGGAATCGTGCTTTTCCAAAGCTGAGGCTGTGCCCGGCTCCTGTCCAGCTGTCCGTGCGTGTGTGGTTCTCGGGGGCGCCCGCACTTCCCTGGCCCCGCTGGCCACGTCTGTGTCCTCTTAGGATGCTGGCGGCACCGCCTGCGGCCCCGCCCGCCCCTCCTCTGGGCTTTCCCCCCCCCCTTTCTGGACTCCAGCCGCTTCCCTGACCCCCGCGGGGCCACCCGTCTCCCCCGTGATCCGTGCCGGCCTCGCACCCTAGAACTCGCCACCGCACACGCGGCCCCGAGCAGCGACTGCCCCCTGAGCCGCCCCTCCCGGGGTCAGGGCGGATGAGCCACAGGAACCACAAAGCCCCCGGCCACC